TGGTGGGAGTGAGTTGCTCAGTCGGGTGTACAGGGTGGAGTGAGTTGCTCAGTCGGGTGTACAGGGTGGAATGAGTTGCTCCGTCGGGTGTACAGGGTGGAGTGAGTTGCTCAGTCGGGTGTACAGGGTGGAGTGAGTTGCACAATTTGCCTTTTGTGAGCTGACTTTTCAGCAAACCCTTGGAAGACTGAGGGGAAAAGCTCTTCCTTGGCCCCACACCTACGTAATGGAATCTCCATAAACATCCTAAATGATGGGCTTCCAAGAACTCCCAGGGTGGCGAACTCATCACCATGTCGGGAGGGCGGACGGTGCACTTCGACCCAGGTGGTCAGTCTCAGAATTGAATCGAATTCCAGGACATCCAGTTGGTGTCCAAGGAGTTGGAAAATTGGGCGGTGTGGGAAATGAAAACCTGATAGGTTTGGTATCGTGAGTTCAGTAGAGAAACAGATTCCCTTCAGCCCCTCCTCTGTTTACCTGGGGACTGTGAGTCCTTTCAAATTATCAGGCCCAAGGCGTTAAGATGAGGCAGCAGTCATGCCCTCTGCCTCCTCCGCCCACTCAAGCTGCACACTCATCTCTGGAAACTGCTTGCTGTTGCCACAAGAGGCTGTAAATGGATGGAACAATGCCACACTGAACACGAACCCACACCCTACAGCTTAACAATGTATAGCCCGTCAGTAGCTGATACTTTTGAGACAGAGTCTCGCTCCGTCACCCAGGCTGGAGTGCAGTGGTGATCCCAGCTCACTGCAACATCCGCCTCCCAGGTTCAAGTGAGTCTCCTGCCTCAGCCTCTCGTGTAGCTGGGATTACAGGCATGCGCCACCAAGCCCAGATAATTTTTGTATTTTTAGTAGAGATGGGGTTTCACCATGTTGGCCAGGATGGTCTCAAACTCCTGATCTCAAATGATCTGCCTGCCTTGGCCTCCCAAACCGCTGAGATTGCAGGCATGAGCCACAATGCCTGGCCTAGCTTACGTTGTTTTAACGTAAATTCTTGGTAAAGAACTCGGAACCTGCTACCCTGAGTCCTCGCTAACCCTCTCTGCCCCGTCTCCTGCCCACCCACGGCCCTGAAGGCTGCTTCCGCCCCTGCCCAGACTGCAGAAGCCCCCAGGCTCACCCTCTTCTCTCCAGCCCTTTCTCACGGCGATCCCACTCCAACCGACAGCTCCCGTTGCCTCCTGCAATGGCCTTGTCACTGGTGTCACTCCTACAGGCCTTCTCAGGGAACTGCAGATACACAAGCGCTCTCCGAGCAAGCCATATTCTCACCTCTGCAAAGCATTTCCAAACGTCTCTGCTCCCTCTGCATGAGCAACATGGCCCAGCCACCCAGCCCTTGTTGCGGTCCACCGGTGGGCATCGGCCTCCACTCCTGTCTTTCTCGTGCCCTCTGGTCCAACGCCGTCCAGCCCCTGGTGAGCTCCAGCCAAGCGCTGCCTGCTGGGCCTCTGGTCTTTACCTGCTCTGTTCCCTCTGCCTGGAGCTTTAAGTAGAAAAAGGCGAGAATATGGAGAAACGGGAAGCCTCAGACATTGCTAGTGGGAATGTAAAATGATGTGTCTGCCGTGGAAAACGTTTGCTGGTTCCTGACAAAGGTTATGAGCAGACTTGGCAGGGGATTCAGCATTCGCCTCTTAAGCATGTACCCAAAAGAAACAAAACCCACCCCTCAGAAACATGCATACGGATGTTCGCAGCTCCGTCCTTCAAACAGCGGGAAAGTGGAGATGACTGGGTGTCCGCCAGCAGGTGCAGGGATTCACAAACGGTGCCAGGTCCCTGGGACGGGATATTACACACCTGTGAACAGAAGTGAGATGCTGAGACATACCACCACTCGGAGCCTTGGAAATGCGACTTTCACGGAAAGAAGCGGGACACACATGTTCACGTGCTGCGTGATTCCTTTTATATGAAATATCCCAAACAGACACACCCACGGAGACAGAAAGCGGATCTGTGGTTTCCAGAGCTGGGGAAGGAATGAGGTGTGATTACTTAACGGGTACGAGGCATTGTTCTGGAGGGACAAAAACGTCCTGAAACCAGAGAAGCAGAAGGTGTGCATCGTGAATCCAGCGCTGCCCGCGAAGTGTATGCTTTAAAATGGCTGTTAAGCAAACTTCACCTCCATAAAAGTGTGTTTTAGAAGAGGTTATGCCGGTGCATGAACCTGCCCACACAAGGGCAGTGCCACGTTACTCAGACGATTGTTTATAGCAAAGCCACCTGCCTCCCCCACCGCTGTCCAGCCTGTCCCCTTAGCCACCCGACCTCTCCGGCTTTGTCTCCTTGGATCCAGCCCTCTCGGGGCTTTTGAGGCCAGATCAGCCTAGAGGCCAAGGGTGCTGGGAGATCCCGCCTGGTACCCTCTCCTGAGAGCTTCGAGGGGCACCTGCTGTCTCTAGCTGTGCCTTCTCTGTGCCCTTCAGCTCTGAGGTCAGGTGTTGGAGCTGGGGCCACTACCAGCTGTGTCAGGCTCACCAAGTTCTGTCTGACAAAAGGTGACTCTGCTCCCCTGGGGAGGAGAACATTCGCCCTGACGGGCCTTCTTCACAACAGTGACCGCAGTCCCTTGAGTGGAGCCCTGGACTCGGACGGAGCTCTGGCCAGTGAAACTCTTAGCAAGGGGCTAAGTGTGTGGGTACCTTCATGTGTGGGGCAGGCTGCTCGCTGGGGACGCTGCTCCCCGCCCTGCACCGGGAGCACCCACCAGGCCTGTGGGGCAGCCCGCACAGCTCCGCCTGCTGAGCTGAGGCTGCTCTGGACGGCCAGTCCGGCGACCCATTCTCTCCACCCTCTTTTCCATCTCAGGTTTGGATTTCTTAGGTCTGGGACTTCACAGTACAAGTCCTAGGCTTTCTCCTGTCCTGCTGAAGGCCGCGTGGATGCTTGGAAGGCAGGGTCAGCCCGGTGCCTGGCTCCACACACCCATACTCCCCACGACTGCTCTGGCAGAGCGCCTGTCTACACGGGGATCCTTCCGAAAGTGAATCTTGCCCGCCCGCCACATGGCAGTCGTTCCTGCTCCGGTAAGACCAGGGATAATGACTAACTGTGACTCAGGCAGAAGGCTTGGCGCATCTAAGTTCACCCGTGTTTCCAGCTCCTGGGGCCAAGTGTCGTGTCGCCTCCCTCCTGGCCGACAGGCTCCCTGGCAGGTCACTCTGTGGACCTTGGATGGACCAAGCTGCTTTCCACATCCAACTTTGACAAGATCTGGGGAAGATGTTCCAGCAAGTCTCCTGGAAACACACGCACGTAACCCGCTGGCGACGTGAGCAGGGCAGCCTGCCTGCGTTATGCAATGCTCAGGCCAGTTTTCCCTGAGAGGAGTGCTGGATCCTCCACGGTAACCCACAAAACTCCACGGAGCTGCTTGGAGGGAAAAGCACCGCATCCTCCAGGTGTTTGGAAATATTCAAGTATGTAAAAGGGAAATGGAATTTCTGTTTACCCTTTTAAGTGACGACTGTTCATCGAATCTTCCTGGACGGAGCTCATTCAGCACCGCTGCCCACCCGGCCAGGCCCCGGGAGCCCCTGCCCGGCACAGCCGAGGCCAACAAGCTCCCACCACGGAGGGAGCACATTCCGGACCCTTTACGGCTCCTTAAAGGGATGAGCCAGAGAAAAAAGTCTTCACGGAGCCTTTGCTCTAGGAGGGGCGGGGGCTGCGCAGGGCATCTGTGATGGCCGCGGCCTGGCGGGTGGGGAGGCTCCCAGACAGGCAGAGGCTTCCCTGGAAACTGATGCCCTGGGGCGGGCCCAGCTCCTGGATGGTCAGAAGGATGGTCAGAGGTCCTGGGAGAGAGGGGAGCAGGGCCCGGGGGTTGGTGCAGGTTCCCAGGGACTTCCAGGGGCGCCGCCACCCCACCCCGTCCCAGGCCCCCGAATGCATCACCAGCGAGCCCAAGGCAGCCTGTTGGCCCTCCCTCGGCCTCAGTTTCCTCATCGGGGCAATGCAAACACGAGCACGTGTACCTCATCGGTGGTGACAGTCATGGAGCTGACGTGGAGGAGGACTGAGGCGCTCTCCTGAGCGCAGCCTCGTCACGCCGTAAACCGGGAGGCCTGGCCCTCTGCCTCCCGGGAGGTCTGTTTCTAATCCTGTGCTGGGTCTGTGTGGCTCCGAGGCCTTGGAGGGTGACACCCAGTGCGCTGTCCCTGGGTCACTGTGCCCTCGGTTGGGTCCAGCAGGAGAAAGGGCTGCCTGCCAAGGAGAAGCCTGTGAGCTTGGCAGGGGAGAGAGGTTAGGAGCTGCGCCTTTGGGAGGCTGGGATTCCAGCCATGGCTGGGAAGCTAAGTCCTGACTGCACCAGCCAGAGCCGTCAGGCCCTAGCAGCAGATGCTCTGCCAAGTGAGGAGGTAAAACCGTCACGACCCAGGAGAGAAGCTGGCACGGCCGCGGGCCCCTGCCCTGCAGCCTGGCCTCACAGGCCCCCAGGCCACGTGCAGACACAGTGCAGCCTTGGGGTGCGACCCTGGTCCTCGGTGATACACACCCGCTGTCCCTGAGCTGGTGTCTGGAAGACGGTAAATGAGCCCCGCGCACTGCTGCCCCTCCTTCCGTCCGCCCCCTCCCAGGGCTGGCCCAGGCCCCGCAGAGCAGGTGATGGTGGCTGCTGGTGGTAAAGCCCGTCCGTCCTTAGCCTCATTCTGTGCGCAAACCCCCACCTCCCGCTGCTCACTTGGCAGCTTCGGGAGCCTGGCGGGGCGAGGAGGAGATGATGGACCCCCATAAGCATGCGCTAGGCTTTGTGGGGACCACGTCATTGCCTGCCGCTTCTCCCGGGGGCCTGGACAGGTCTGAGTGTGTTCGGGCACACAGTGCTGCTTCCCAGGCACTTGGGCCAGGACTGGAGTGACATGGTGCTGTGACGGACTGCCCATTCTCAGACCAGGCAGGGCCACCCTAGGTGACCCACTGTGCCGCGCAGCTGGTTCACATCCCGGCACCCCTGGGCAGCCCTGGGCAGCCCTGCCAGTGTGCTCTTCTCCCACAGTCCCTGGAGTCCCACACTGGCAAGGCCATCTGTCATACCTGTGAGTGCCACATGGGCCAGCGCCCCCAATGGAAAAGCCACATTCCGTTCTGCCCGAGGGTCCCGGGCTTGCGACACTGCCCTCTGGCTGCCCTAGAGTGGGAGGCTGTGGGGGTTGCAGTCTTGCCAAGCGTGGGAGCAGTGGCCAAAATGTGGAGTTACCTGGACAGAACGTTGGGCCTAGGAAGAGCCCTGGGCTCAGGGCGGATGTCCCTGGTGCGTTTATGCATTTCTGCAGGTTTGCTGCCCAGCAGCCAGCATTGGGCTGTGGCCACGGTGGCAAGGTGGCCTTGGGTCTGCGCAAGGCTTGGAGGTCCCCAGGAGCCACCCAGGAATCTGGCGGTGCCTGTAGAGACGCGCCATCTGCAAGGTGCAGTCCAGCAGCTTCTGTCCCGTGAGCCCATTGTCAAACACACAGCGGCCCAGACTTCATCAGGATTCATCACGAGAAATGCAAAGGCGCATTCCGTAGGGCAAGGAAGTGGCAGAGGGGCACTATGGCAAGGACACGGGAACACTAGGGCGGGGGATGGAGGAGCACCGGGGCAGAAGCAGAGGAGCATGAAGGCAGGGACGGAGGAGCACGGGGGGGTCAGAGGAGCACGGAGTGGGTGCGCAGGAGCACAGGGGTCAGAGGAGCACGGGGGTGGGGGTGCAGGAGCATAGGGGTCAGAGGAGCACAGAGTGAGTGCGCAGGAGCACAGGGGTCAGAGGAGCACGGGGGCGGGGGTGCAGGAG